AATATTACATTGTTCCCATATTATCGGCAAATGATTTTCGGGTTAAAATGTCTTGACCATGGATTTATGCATAAGAAATTTTATTTTAGTTCAAAGACTAATTCTTTAATCTTAGTTTTGGATGACATTATTTTATTTTGAATGCTGCTTTTTAACTTCGGGTAATTAAAAGATCTTATTTTACTTTAATGAATGATGTATAATATTAACTTTTGATAGTCTACAACCTTATTTCATAAGAAATTCATCCGAGAAGGATGAAGTTGCAGGATTTATTTCATAACAAATTTTGAATGATTCAACATCTCTATTTCAGCTTACAATTCTATCACCAAATACTCTTTGACATCATTTGCCTCAATCTGCTTGGTTAAAACATCCATTTGACTCTTGAAACGAAACGAGTTCTCCTTTTCATCACGATTTGCAATAATCTTTTCGTTTTGATCCTGAGATGTCTTTTCACCTATTTGGCTGACATGTTCCTTCCACTTTGGTTGAATTCTACCTTTGTCACTGTCCGTTATCAAGCCAAATTCGTTGCTTGACTCCCCAGATGGATCAGTTTTAGCCATGAAAGTTGTAGCAGTAGAGCTTTTAATGGTACCAGCTTTTTCTCCTTCAAGCTTTGCAGCACAATTAAGCTTGATATCCCTGGAAAATTGGGTTCCATTCCACGGAGAACCCAGCTTTTTCTCCTTTAAGTTTGCAGCTCTTGGTGATGTTCTTTGTGATTGAAGCTTACTAGACCTTTCTCCATTTGGGGTGCCATAGAGATGATTGGCACCATTTCTAGTTTTAGAACTATTTAGCATACCGGAATGGAATTTCACACCATTTAGAGCTAATTCCCTAGAATTTTCCTGTATCATTCAACAGAAAGAATGTAATGACTCAAAAAGAAACTTCGTCAACGAAATGAAACAAGACAAACCAATGAAGAAACCAACCAGTTCAAAGAATCCAATCTTCGGCAACGGCAGTCAAAGGCCAGAAGGTTTTTTTTCCCCTTGAAACAGTCAATGGTAGTTGATCATTAGAACAATTCTCAGTGTCTGAGCATTGTGAAGCATCATTGTTGACTTGATTCGAATAAGATAAGGAATCAGAAGACCAATAAATGAAAGTTGAAAGTGAAGCACTCGGTGTGGACTGTAAACTAGTTGGCTGAGAAGTATCTAGCAGTTTGCTTTTGTGTTGGGTTAAGGTTCTTGTAGGAGTCCAAGCATCAGAATCAGAAGCAGCTGAATCATTCTTTCTACTAAGAGAGTTTGGGGATTTCACAATGGAAGGACTTTGGCCACAAACAGATCGTGAAAGATCTTTATAGACACTGTGGGAACGTCAAGAAGATGGTTCTGCAGATGGTGAACCACGGTCACCAACACAAGGTTTCTTTGACCTGTTTTGTCCTATAATCATAAACCAAAAAGAATTTTATGTGAAGCAGAAATGGAATATAAACACTGTATGAGTAAACCAAAATTTTACGACAGGTTTACCAGATAGAGTTTTCTAATTTTATTGTTCACTTCCATTTGGTTTGCGCTAATTGAAGCCCTTTTGGCTGTACCAGATGAGAAAGGATTGGACTGGTCAAATGCCTTGGACAGCTTAAGGGAAGAGGATGGTTCATGTTCTCGGGCTGGAGTACCATGCTTAGTTTTTTAACCATAAGCAGAGAACCAAAAAATACGAAATAAGAGAAAAATAACACAAAAACGGTATGACTACACAGAATATGCCTACGAAATGTATGAACTTTGGTATGAACTTTGAAAGGAACTATGACTGAAGTTCACATATGAAGTACTATGTAACTATGTTACTCTGATTTTCATGAACATGTGTTTGATACATGTGTATGTGGGAAATGGGATACGCTTCAAAGTTCAAATACATGAAAATCTTGGGAGAGAGAAAAATTAGCGTACTCGTGTTCGGCACGAACCCATATCTGACACCTATACAAGAGCCCGAATAATATAACTGTGAAGTCTGTACCAGTATCCTGAATTCAACATACCTGTTCTTTTGAGGGATTGATGGCTTCTTTTGCTTTCTTTCCCACTCCATCTGCATTAGTTTTTGGACTTCTGGAAACTGAAAAGGGTTTAGCCTGAAATTTTTAAAAAGAATTGAGTCCCAAAAAGACATAAATAGTGTCCGTTTTAACCCCAAGAATAAAAAAAAACTACAAACCCTGGTTGAAGTAGTATCAAGCCGTTTTGAAACTGCAAAGAAGTAGACTTGATAAGCATAAGGCAAAAGAAAAGCCAAGAACCAATTCTTGTAAAACAATCATATGAACTATATGACATTATTTTTTTACTAGAACCATCTAATTTTGGGTTTAAGCCTATGAACCCTCCAAATACATGAAAAAAACATGTCTGAAATATACTCAAATCCGACACTTGAACTGAATTCAATGTAACATATTTAACTAGCATAGAGAAAGAAGCAGACTGAGATGTATAAACCTGAAAACTAGACAGGAATGATTTGACTTCGTCAAATTCTGAGTGAAGATGGTTCAAATAAGTAGATACTTACAATGGGGATTTGGATTGTCTGTTTGACTTTGATGTTTGCAACTGGAATTCACCAAAGTGGATGATTTGCTTGATTTTTGCATGCATGCTCTCATATCATCAAAAAGATCAATCTCAAGACTTGACAAGGAGTAATCACTATCCAATGTAGAGCTTGATTCAGTAGATTTCCAAAACTCTTGTTCAACTCCCGGAAGTATATGTGTTACTGTTTCAGACTTCCTATATCCATTGTTTACCAATGACAACTCTTCTGGATTCAATACCCCTAAGCATTGAAAAACAGAAAAAGGAGTGGAAAGTATATTATTAACACTGAAATACATATAAAGAGGAAAAGTTGCTCGAACGTGAGACCCGAGCTTGGCCAGTTGCCTCATGTAGTGACACTGACACCCTAAAGAAGCAGCTTTCAATCGTTGTGAATTCGAAACTACATTTTCAAATCATTACTCTTTTTGGAGATTAAGGGCTCATTTATACAAAAAAAAAATTGCTACAAGTGTAAATAAGCATACCTGCACTGGTGAAAAAGGCAGCATCCCTAGCTAAACTTCTCCGGGCAATGCCCTCGCCAATTCTACTTGCTGCCATGGATTCAGTAGGGAAACCACTAGTTTCCTTGAGTCCCTTATCCCCAGCAATAATATTCAAGGTCTAAAACAACTCTTCAGGATCCAAAACTCCTAAGAACATGAACAAAATTTCGTGACAATAAAACAAATGATAGTGAAAGCTAAATGGCCTTAACAACGATGTTAAAATTGCTTGGAAATTTAATCAGTCATTTTGAAAACTAAAACCAACCTGGAGTTGTGAAAAAGGCACTATCCCAAGCCAAACTCTTGCGAAGATCGTACTTAAACTCGAATCATCAGTCTTTTGTTCTTCTTCCTTTTGCCTTGGTTCATCTTTTGAAGCCTCAATCAGCCTGAATCCATCAATATCAATATTTTGTCTGTTCCTTGAAACATCAGCTGAATCAATAATATCCCATAAATAAATTGATTTAGTCAATGAATATATAGTAAGAAAGGGAAAGAACAATCAGATGTTTAGATCAAATCCTAATATCAGTCCAAATTTAATGGTTTGAAGTTAAATTTTCATAATAACTTGATCAAATTCAATCCTGGTATCATTTCCTGTAATGGAATTTGACTGAACTTGGTGATCATCAATATATTGTTACATTAAAATACGAAAGGCTTCGAAACATAAAGATTTATTCTTGCAGAAAAATAGTATAAATCAAGCCTTTCAAAACCAAGAAAGAAACAAAGAATTCATGCATGTTTAACTTTCATGTGTTTTTCTCAACATCCAAACAAAGAAAACAACTAAAACCCAAATTGAATAAATTACCAGGGAAATGAAATTCGTGCAAAATGTTTCTTTTGGATGACATTTTCTTCTACAGTTTACTCTTTTTATTTATTTTTCTTGCATTGGAGTTGAAGGCATACAAAGAAACTAACAGGGAAAAGGAAACAGAGGGAGACAGAAAAGAGAGGAAGAGATGGAAAAGTGAACAACTTTTTTAAAATTTCAGAAAACGACAGTTTTGACAATTAATTTGTAATTATTGCTAATTAATTTGATTAGTGGAGCGCATGTTTTGTGCATGAATTCATTCTAATTTCCGTCTTAAAATGGGAATATAATAAAGACACCAAAACAACCAAGTTTTTACGTTCAAACGCAAATGACGGTTTGACACATCTATAATAACTACTAAATTAAAATGTTTTAAAACAATAAAACTACAAAAAATATTTTTTAAAATATATTACATGTTAGGAAAATAATATATTTTCTTAAACTTTCAGCCATGTTGTTTTTAAAAAATTTGAGATTCGAATAATAAAATTATGCTTTTATGTTGTATCCATTAGATCTTTAAAACCATTGGTTAATATATTCGAAATGATTAAATAGTGAATAAAAAATAATGATCAAATTAATATACATGTAAATGTCTTAAGATCTGCATGAAAAAATTAACAAAATTTAGGGACATTATTTTTAATAGAATAAAAAGTGAATAAGCCAAAATATTTTATGAAAATGATGGAAAATAGAACACTGATGACTGCCCAAAACTTACATTTATCAAAATGTTTTCTTTATTTCAAATAACATTTTCTTATCCAAAATGTAGTTCAAAAACAGGTCTCGTGTAAATATGTTAAAACCGGTGTGTCATTAGAAAAATATTTGATATTGAATTACGGGTCTCACTGGTTAATATAACTAATTCCCTATTAGAAATCTACTCGAGGCAAAGCCTTGGCCATCTCCCATACACCATGTTTTAGAGTGGGAAATTTTAACTAGACATTATGCCAGCCTCACTAATCATAGCAATATCTTCTCTCATGCTTATCGAAACTCATATGAGGAACCAAAGGATAAGCTGGTTCAGCAGAAATGTCACATAATGACTGAAAATCGAAAACTCGTCACCATTGGCATCCATCAATAAAGCGGGCATGAATAATAGATAGGGCAGCTATGATTCTACAATGCGGTTCTCCTGGTCCTCAAGGATTGCATCCATGAAAAGGTCAAATCATCTAAAATGATATTACATTACACTACCCCGAGCATGCGTGTAACGCCATGCAGCTTATAGCGTAATTCAAGAAAGAACGAATCCGAGAAGAAGGACCGTCCGTTGCATTCTTCAAGTTGAATCAAAAGCCTACCAGGGCGACACCTGAACCTGAGGATGTGTTCTCCCCTATATAGATTGCATCAAAAGAATCGAGAATAAGATTTGACCACAATATTATCACAGCTATAAACAAAATAGAAGAATTTGTATTACAAAACATCAGTCATCATGCATGGCTGATAGTTCATTTATCCAATTTCAGACCACCCGAAAACAGAATTAACTACATTTTTATAGTCACATGATGCATCAATCATGCAGCTTTATGCACCTTAAAAATGAGATGGATTCAACAGATGAACTCGTATAAACCATCAACTTCGACCTCATGTTAAACAATTCAAAAGAGGTAATAATCAAAGCATTTATCACCGCCCAACAAGCCTGGAGATCTAAATTTTGGGCTCCTAAAATGTAAAATAACAGCTGCTCCTACTTCTGTCATTTGCACTTAGTGGTGCCGTAGATAGTAATATAGATTCAGTTATTTCATATCATATACCTCTTATCTGCCTGTAAATAACAAAACCATTAGCCATACTTGTCCACTTAATTTTGTGCAATGTCAGATGAGAACCGTCACTATTCTAGCATCATCAACTTAAAAGCTTTCATACAGATAAGATAAGTAATACCTGAAATTTCGAAGTAATTTTGACAGCAGAGAAACTAAGTTGAATGATCCTTGCTTCCAGCCACTTTAGGTGGAGACGTCTCCATTTCAGTAGTTGTAGAAACAGTTGATGTTTCCTCGGCATTAGTTGTGAGAACAGTTGAAGCTTCCTCACTCAAGGTCGTCGGGATAGTCGAAGTTCCCTCAGGCAAGGTCATAGGAATAATCGAAGATTCTTCATCCAAGTTTGTGAGACTGACTGCAGTTTCATCACCCAAGGTTGTGGGATTTGTTGGAGTTTCCTCGTCCAATTTTGTGGTAGTTGGATTTTCCTCAGCCGAAGTTGTCGGAATAGCTGGAGTTTCCTCGTGTGAGGTTGCAGGAACAGTTGCAATATCCTTGTCCAAGGTTTCAGGAATGGCCATGGTTTCCTCAACCACGGTTGGAGTGGTCTGAGTTGTCGAACCCAAGGGTATGGGAACGGTAGGAGTTTCTCTGCTGGAAGTTGGAGGAATTGTAGGAGTTTCTCCACTTGAGGCTGGAGTAATTGTAGAAGTTTCTCCATTTGAGGTGGGAGGAATTGTAGGAGTTTCTCCACTTGAGGTTTCAGGAATGGCTGAAGTTTCTTCGCCTAAGGTTCTTGGAATATTAGGGGTTTCTTCAGCCAAGGAGATGGCTGGAGTTCCTTCGCTCCTAGGAATACTAGGGATTTCTTCTGTCAGGATAATCGCCGGTGTTTCTTCATCCAAGGTTCTGTGAATACTAAGGGTTTCTTTGGCCAGGGGAACAGTTGGCGTGTCTTCGCCCAAGGTTCTGGGAATACTAGGGGTTGCTTCGGCCAAGGGAATAGCAGGAGTTTCCTCACCCAAGGTTGTGGAAATACTAAGGGTTTCTTCTGCCACACAAATTGCTGGAGTTTCTTCGCCCAAGGTTATGGGAACACTAAGGGTTTCTTCAGCCAAGGAAATAGCTAGAGTTTCTTCGCCTGAGGTTCTGGGAGTAGTATGGATTTCTTCTGCCAAGGTCACAGGATTGGTATGAGTTTCTTCACCAAACGTTGTGGGAATGGTTGAAGTTTCTTGACCTCCAGTAACAAAGCCTGAATTTTCTCCACCCAAGCTTACATTAACTGTTGAAGTTTCCTCACTCAAGTTTGTGGTGATGGTCGAAGTTTCTTTGCTCACAATTGTGGAGAAGGGATAAGCTTCCTCAAATGTTGAAACAACTGCTGAGGTTCGCTCACTAATGGTTGTGACAACTGTTGAAAATTGTTCACCTACAGTTGTGGCAACCATAAAATTTTGGTCACCAATAGTTGAAGCAACATCCATTGCTCCCTCATACATGCTTGTGGCAATGGGCAATGTCTCCTCATACATGCTTGTGGAAATGGGCATTGTCTCCTCATACATGCTTGTGGCAACGCCTGAAGTTTGATTGCATATGGTAGTCTGAATGGCCAAACTACCCTCACCAAAGGATGAGTGAAGTTCCTCATGGAAAGTTGTAACAATGGGTAAAGTTTCCTCATCGAAGGTTGAAACCATGAATGAAGCTTCCTCCCCTAGACTTGGGGGAAAGTGAGAAGTTTCCTCGCCCAGGGTTGATACAACAAGAGCACGGTCCGCACATAGTGATGAAGACATGAGTGGATTATCCTGAGCTAGGGTCGGAGCATACAATGAAGCTTTGAATGATTCAGCTATGGTGTAGTTGAGTTGATAATTTACAGCGACTGGCCCAAAGATGTTGAACTTTCCAGCACTATTGTAGGCAACTTCAGCATCAGACGTTCTTCTAAAAACAACTCTTGCACGGCTGGTTTCGCGATCAACTTCTGTTTCAGATTCCTTTAGTGGTCCAAAGTGCTTGAACATCTTATTTAGCTTCGTTTCTGAAGGGACAGAATTAATCTCAGTGAAGTTCATGACAAGTTCTGCTGGAGCCCTCTCATCAACATAGCCAGGGGGTTTCTGAGTTGTCAAATCATGAATACCATCAGAATACCGTTTTTGAGACTTACGGCCTTTTTGAAGTGGCTTCTCTAATTGAACAGGCACTAATTGATATTGTCCCATTCCATTTCCATGGGGTGGCTGCTCTTCAGAACCATTTTGAACTATTCTATCAGTCCAATAAGTGTCATTCATGTCATCGAACTCGAAAGTTTCTGACGAACCAAAAATAGAATTGGGTGACTTCTTCCTTTTTTCACTTACTTTTTCCCCAGGATGTTGATCCACGACAATTGAATCTCTGAAATTAGAGAAGAAGTTGACAATTAAACTAAAAGAACTTTTCATTGGATCGCATGCTGCCTCGTGAAGTTGTGATAACAACTCCTCTAGTGATGAGTAATCTGCCATAAAGCTCATCATCTTTTGCAGCGCATCCTCAAAATTCTCGACAGGAACATCAATTCCATCAGCAGCAGGATATTCACTGCCTCCATCAAACTTCTGAAACCTATCACCACTGGACTTCAGAATCGATGGAGATCCTGTCATTTGACTCGCAGCTCTACGGATACATTCACCAATTTTAAAGGAAGGCCTTGGGAAATGAGATGCAGTTTGAGACACCTTGGCAAGAGAAATTGTCTTCTTCCCGTCTTGCATTGTCTCCTCAAAGGAATCAACAGCTTTTCTTTTCTTGCCAAATGTCTCACCCATCAATTCAGTCAAGCTTCTTTCCTTTTTACTAGGATACAACCCATCCTTCAGATTATGCTTACGCTTAAGGTAATAGTTTCTCTTAGTTTTTAAAGCTTCCTGGCCACTGAAAATTTGCTCACCATCGGTATCCATAGGAGTACAAGGCTCAATTACCTCACCGAAGTGCATTTTCTCTTCAGAATGCAAGGTATTTGTTTCATTTTCAATTAAATCTCCACAGGATTGGAATTCGGGCAATTGATGATAACCCTTTAAACGATAGAAAGCCAGCAATTGAGATTTAGCAATCACAAGGTCGAGTCGATCACCTCCAGCAGCTGGAGACTCTGCTAATACCTTCATATAGTCAACTAATTTATCAGGTTTGAAAGAACTAGCACTCAAAGACTTATCAACAACATCTCTTATGCTTGATTCTTGTTGAACACCTGTATTCTCAATTTTTTGGAATTTTATCCTGTCATAAACATCCTGGTGTATGCAAGAGCAAGCCAAACCTAGCTCTGTCCGTCTAGACACTTCTTCCAAAGCACAATCAACTGCATTGTGGAATGGTTCTGAATTACTCTGTTTTTCGATCTGAGAGAAATGTGGTCGAAATGGCTTCAAAACAGAAGCTTCATTCCAAGAAAATGTCCGATCCCCAAAGTAGGCTACCAGAAAGGTATCCTTCTTATGATACTTAAACGCCATCTCAGAAGCATCTGATGTATCAATGATCTGCCCTGGCCACCATGAATGGCTCCTCACCTTTCCCCAGATTAAATCCGAAACAGACAATTCACCTTCTTCCTCTAGCTGCAGCTGGTACCTAGCTTGATGCACCTTTATTGTACTCGCAGACCTTAGAAACATTCGTTTAACAGACTTTTCATCGAAATCAGTTGGCTGTTCAGGATCAGAATCATGTTCTTCAACTTCCATTTCTTTCAATTGGTCTAAACCATCATGTTCATCACTAGTTACTTGTTCTTCAACATTCATTTCTTGTGCTACACATGAATCATCCTTAGAAGCTGCATTCTCAGCTAGTGTATTTTCATTTCCCAAAGAATGTGAGGAATGTACTTGGTTCAGAACATTGTTATCAGCTTTTGAGGCTTCATGATTAATGTCTCTATCAGCATCAAAACCAACATTTTTTGAATCAGAAACTTGCTTTTCAGCATCCATTGCAGCCCCAATACTTAAATCAACTTCCTCTGCTCCGTCAATGACTGTCACAGCCTTTAAGCTCCGGCCATTTCCTGAGCAAGATAAAAATTGTCCAGATCAACATTGTTGTAACCATATATATAATTAAGAAAGAATACATGATTGACTCTAGCAACTTTACCTGCATGATTTTCAGAGCTATCATAAGGAATATCAACTTCCATATGCCTTTGTTCAGAATCAGCACCTTGCTTGTTGGTTTCCAGGTTTGCATTATCCTGCAAAAGAGAGCAGAAAAAAAAACTCAGGCTGGGTTTCCACACTAGTATCAGTAGCCACCGTCAAAATCAAAATTTTGAAGTACCGTCTCGTCCAATCCACATTCAACAACCAATTCAGTTGATTGACATGAATAAACCGCATCTGCATGGAGATTGTAGAATATTTTTCAGTGCTATCCACCTACTCTCAAAATATCATTGCTCTCCTTCAACTTGAAATTTCAAATTATTATCAAAAGAACTAATTTTTATACCTTTTGCACCAGAATGGGGAACATCTTCTACGGTAATCTCTGTCTTCACATCCGACGACTTGGCATCTACACCAACATCAGTAGCTTCCTTCTTTGTGTCAGATATAGCTTCACAAGAACCATCCAGAGTATTCAAATTGTCCCCACCAATCGTCATTGCAGCTTCCTCAACAACTTCAGTTTGCACTGTTGAACCTTTGGATGCAACGGATGAAAATTCAACAGCTTTCTGTTTTCCATGATTTAAGTCATTACCATCTGAATCATCAACCTTTTGTGCCTCCAAAGTTTGATTTGCATCTCCCCCACCTTCATCCGTTCCATTAGTATGTTCCATTTTCTCACCATCTTCAGCTTCAGCACCGCTTAACTTATTATCGGTCCCAGCTTCACAAACAGAAACCTCACTTCTTGAACCCAAATCAGCAGCTTTGTCACCTTCACTATCTAAGTTTCGCAGATTACCCTCCATACCAACTTCGCCGGAGCCACCATGACCATAAACCACTTCATCATTCGAACCGGTCCCAATAATACCTCCATCTCCCCCATCGGTAGTACAAATACCATCTACATAAACATGAGAACCCAAAACTTCCAGCATTATGTCATCTCCATTACTGGGACCCTCTTCCCCTCCTCCATCCATTGGAATTTGACCCTCGCAAACCATAGTCTCAACAACAGTTCCACTAACAGTTAAAGAAGATTCTGTAGCAGCACTCACAGAATCGCCTTCCTCTTTTGCCTCATCCATTTAATAACCGACCCGAGGATTCTTCAAAATCATTCCAAAATTGAAATTAAAAAGCAAAAATAACAAAAGACGCATTTTTATACCATATATAAAATTTCAGAGATAAAACAAAGAGAGGGAGAAATTAAGCTATAGAGTGAGCTAAAGTTCACTAACAACAACTAAAAACTCTGCAGCATTACTAACTGAACTACACTTCTCTTTAGTTTTATCCATAAAAGAACTAATCTGGGCATTTCTCAAAATCAAGAAAAAATGCTCAAGTAATGAAAATTTCCACACACAAAAAAAATGAAAAAATAAACTAAAAATCGATAAACCCTAACAACAAAACCTAACCTAAGACTGACATAAGCATGAAACTGAGAGGAAAATGGAAGGAAACATATATATCAAAAGATTAAATTTTTACATCATAATTACAAAGAAAAGATGAAAAGGCTAAGAATTTATGTTTACCTTCGATAGATTTCGGGGGGTAACCTCAGCAAAAGGGGACTTTGAGGGTTTGGGGTTTAGAAAGAGGAAAGAAAAGTACTTTCTTCTTTTTTTGTTTGTTTTTTCGGCAAACAGAAAAAGAAAAATAGTATATACTAGTTTCAGAGTTCTCTAAAGAGATCCAAGGACAGTAAACATATTTAACCACAACTGTTATCGTGGCACGTGGCATGCCTCCATTGGCTTTTCTGGGGACTTTGGTGACATTACATTTTTCTTTTCGAATAAAACGGCAATTTCCTGGGCTCTTACCAAATTTGTAATCTTTGATAAAAAGGAGATCTTATATGAATGAGCAAATGTTTTACGGAGGGCTAAGTCTGAGGAATTTAATGTGTGGTAGAAAATGAAAAAAATTTGTTGAAAGAATTACAAGATTATTCGGAACTTCAAATAAATATTAATATTTGTACTAGTTACCAAAAGTTAATGTATTTATTTAAAAAGATTTTTTTAACAATTATTATAGTTATAAAAAAATGTTTGTGAAGTTTATCAAAGGTGATTTTTTTTGGCTTTGTTAACTCTCGCGTGCTACATTTGGATCGTCTTGGTAGCGATCATAGACCCATTCTTCTAAAATTGGATCATGAGAATGTTAGGTAAAAAAATCGGCCTTTCCGTTTCATGGCAGCTTGGCATAATCATCCAGGATTTAGTGAATTCCTTGGTTCAATTTGGAAGAATGATTGGGACATTGAGGAGAACATCAAGGCGTTTACTGATAATGTTACTGAGTGGAATGCTGATGTTTTTGGGCACATTGGCAAAATGAAAAGACAGTTAATGGCTCGGATTCGGGGTGTGGATATTGCTGTTCAACGTACAAATTCGGATACTCTGGTTTATTTGGGTAATCAACTTAGAATGCAACTTGAGATTGTCTTGGATCATGAAGAGAGCATGTGGAGGCAAAAAGTGTGCTCCCAATGGATTATTCAAGGTGATAAGAACACGTCTTCTTTTCATGCTTGCTAGAAGGCGTCGAAATATTGTGTTGTCTTTGAAGGATGATAATGGCAATTGGATTTCAGATCAGGAGGATCTAAAAGAAATGGCGCATTCTTTCTATTCGGCCTTGTTCACGAGTCAGGGCACTATGAGCAATAATTATGAAATTCGTGGACTTCTTCCGAGAATGAGTGATGTTGATTTTAATAATATGGCGCGAATGGAGTCGAAAAAGGAGATTCATGATGCAATTTTTAATATGGGTCCTCTGAAGGCACTGGGAGTTGATGGCCTCCATGCTACCTTTTACCAGAGAACTTGGAGTGTGGTTGGGGATTCAGTGTGCTCGTTCATTCAGGAAATTTTCAGTGAGGGTACGATCCCTCCGTATCTTAATCGTACCTTACTTGTTCTGTTGCATAAGGTTCCTTCCCCAGAAACGATAAATCAGTTCCGGTCTATTAGTTTGTGTATGTTTTGTACAAAATTGTGACGAAAATTTAGCTGCGATTTCTTTGTTACGTGATCGGGGTAGGAAGCCAAACCTGCTGTCCATTGTGGAGCATATTTTCTGCTTGCTGGATCGTGGATGGGAGGTGAGATTTCAACATGTGTTGAGGCAGGGAAATCAACTTGCTGACATGCTGGCCTGTTCTGCTGGACCAGAGATAGTTGTTACGCAGTTCTTGGAGGTTCCACCTAATGAGATTGTCGGTTTGTTAAGTGAGGACACTGGGTAACCTTGTTTCGGTCTTATTACTGTGTTGGTTTTCTGTTTTACTTGGTTCATTCGTTGTAATATTATTATCATGCGTACTCTTTTTTTTTCCATTAAGACTAAGGATGTTTTTCACGAGACACAGGTAATAATTCCTTTCTCACAAAAAAAAGTGAATTTTTTTAACTTTTATATTTTTTGTAATTATTATAAATACTTTAAATTGTCTAATGTTTTTGACGGTCTCATAAAAAAGTATAATTATAAAAGACATTATATGGTTTTCAACAAATGATATAAAAGTGTACTGTGAATCATAACTACATACAGTGGTGAATCCATAAAAACTTTTTAGGGTGGCCATATATCTATTAATAATAAAAATTTGTATGGGCCAAACACAATAAAATTTCATGATAGACTCCTTCAGTAAAATGAATAACTAATATAAAGAATTTCAAATTTCATGGTTGACACAATAGAATTTTAAGGTGAATATTTTCAATAAAATAAATAACTAATATAAATAAGTTCGTATTCTAGGATAGACACGTGCCCAGCTGTGATGTACATGTATCCATCGGTGAGTAAAGAAGAATTGATGAATATTATTAAAAATAAACTCAATCAATTTTTTTTCTCAAATGGCAAAATGAAGTTCTTAAAATGTGAAAATTTGCGTAAATTTACGTCACTTCTTACAAAATGCTAAATTGCGAATGCTAAATTTTTCTCAAATCTTGAATATAAATGAATCAATAAACTTTAATTATTAGGACAATGAGATTATTCATTATTGATGAATTTTTAATGAGAGTATTCAATCTGTATGTTATTGTGTATTGTATAACATAATTGTTTAAGTTGATTCAGTGAAAAAAGTCAATGCTTTCATTTCTGTGAACCTAGGTTCAATTCCCTTAGCTTTTGTCAACATTGCTTGGGCTTTTCTACTTGTTTTTCCATCTAACCAGATGGTGACACATGTTACTCACCATCTGTGTGGTAGAAAAATAATTAAATTAAAAAAAATTAAATTCTTAAAAAACTTAAATAAAATATTGACACATGTCATAATTTGATTAGAGGATTAAATTTATTTAATTAAATTAAAATTAGGACCAAATTGATATAATATACAAGTATTGAGGACTAAATATATAATTATACTAATTTTATTAACTACCACGTCAGCACTTCTGTTAAATATAAATGGCAGGTGGCTTAATTGAATATAATTAAATAGTTAAGTAATTTGATTGATAAAATTGAAAGATTGATGGTAAAAGTAAAAATGGGCAAAATAGTTAAGTTATCAATGATATAGTTTACCCTTAAATAATTTACCTTTAAATTTTAACTAATTTATAATTATATGTTGACTACTTTATAATTTTAACGTTTTATAAATTAATTTATATGTGATTATCGTTAATGGTGCTTATCACTTCTCGTCAAGCATGAAAGAATCATCCAAGTTAATAAATAAAACGAGACACAATATCATAAGTTTTAAAAATAATTTTATTATTAATAGTGTGTTGTTTTTAGCGATAAATAATGTAATACCCAAATTTGGACTAGTGACTAAAATATAAGTTTTAAAAGTTTAGGGGAAAGTATAAACTTTGAAAAGTGTAGGGATTGAAATTTGTAATTTTTAAAAGTTATATATTTTAGTCTGTAAATGAATAGTTTGGAGTAAAACAGAGATTTTAATAGGAATCAGACTTTTGGTACGGGAATTGTGTTGAAAGTTATAAAGTAGTCAAGTTCAGTATTGAAATCAGATAATCGGATCGAATCAGAATTTTACAAAAATTTGAAAGATGTTTTCAAATGGTTGGAAGTATTATTTTTATATTTCAAATCAGAGAAATTTGGCTCAGAACAGTGTAATTTTTCAGATTTTACCGAACTGTGGAATTTTAGTGACTAAAATGAAATTTTGAAAAATTAAAGGGTCAAAAAGAAAATTTGAGAGATGAGAATTTTACAGCTATTTTTATAATATTAAAATAGAGATGAAGGAGCGGCATGGAGGTAATTTCGGGAATTTATTAATGGTAATTTAGTCTTTTGGCCCAAAATGAATAAAAAATTAGTTTTTAATTGATTTTTAAAGGTTAAAGTAGGAGATTTTTTTTTAGAATTTTCGTGAACTCTTCTCTCCTTCAGCAGGTTGCTGAAAACTCTAAGTTCTTCAAGGTAAGATTTTTATTTTGATTTTTGGAGCAATATACTTAATTTTTTGGATTTAGCTATTAGATAGAGAATTAATCTACATGAAATTCTCTATCATTTGGTACAAATATTTCATGGTGAATATGATTATGTGATGAGATTTCATGATTAAGGTTTAAGGAGGTTTAGTGATCTTGAAGAATTGATGAAGGATTTTTATGTTTTTGATGTTATTGATTATTTCTAAAGCATGTATGATAGTTAAAATTAATTGTACATGCAAAAACATGGTTTGGCCATGTTAGGGATTATGAGCAGGATGAGATTTTGATTCAGTTTGATGTTGTTATAATTGAAAATGCATGAATTTAATCATAGGAGGTTGAATTCATGCTTGAAAATGAACAAAAATTTCCCCTAAATGATTTAGAGGTATTCAACCAATAGGAAATAAATCTGGCAGTGAGTTTGAAAATTCACCAGAAATTTTATAAAAATTATTTGGAAGTGATTTTTATGTATTGTGTTATTATATCAATATAGGTTTGTTTAAAATGGTAATCAATTTCAAGTTGTATACAAAAAGATATGAATTTTTAACCGAGAAAAGGTCAGAAAAACGGGCAGCAGATTCTGCACAAAACAGATTCTGTGGGTCAACTTTGAAAATTCACCATAAATTGTACATAATGAATTGGAAGGAGTTCTTTAAATGGATAGATTCGCATTCGAGTCTAATTTTTAACGAAAGAAACGGAATTAAATTTCAATGTGTATATCAATACAAAATATTGATTCTTTAAAGGTTGTACAAGTTGTCTGAATATGAAAATTTTAGAATTTAAGTTGAAATGGATTAGAAGATGAAGAGTAATGTTTAAAAGGTTGAGGTATTGATTTGAAAATTTTATTAAAGGGCTGAAATTTTTATATTTAATGATCAATGGGCATAATGGTGAAGGACAATTATGAATTAAATAGAAAGGTTGAGGTGAATTCAAAAAACAATCACAATTTGTGGCTTATTTGTGTAATTTAGCAAAGATGAAGGGTTAAAGATGAAAATAATATTCATGGATTTGAAAGAGTATTTCAGAAGTTGGAAATTATAATAGAAATATGATTTAGTTTGATAACGATTTTTATTTTGTAGATTTTCTAATATTAAACTCATTTTATATTAGTACGATTCCAATATGTAGTTCCAAC